AAGATTAAAATTCAAAAACAAGTATTAAATGTAGTACAAATGACTTGTATTTGTGAGCAAAACTTTCCCATACTAATGACTCATTTAGGACCAAAACAACTGTCTCTTATCAGTGACTTAAATTTAGGATGAGTGATATATTCTTTGGCTTTAGTTTTGTAATTCCCCACAACCCTCCCCACAAATAAAGAATGGTAACCAATTCTCTCCCCTCACACTTGTGTTGCGCGCGCGCGTGTTTTTTTAAGGAGACTTGAAAAATGCAAGTTTACATACTCTTTTAGTCTTGTTTATAAGACACTTCTAGTATGTTTTACATAGACTAAGAAAAACCTTAAATTTTATTAAATCTTACTTAAAATTTAATAACTTTTCAATTTTATCTCTATTTAATATATATTATACATTATATAAATGAAGTCAACACAATAATAAATTAAGGATAAAATTATACATTCATATAAAAAAATTTAATGTCCTATAAATAAAATAAAAAAATATCTTCTCTTTTTGTCTTATAAACAGAATCAGAAGTGTGTTGGGTCCTGAGAGATGGGGCGGCCTAATAAGACTTAAAAAGTGAGAGTTTAAATTATTGTTACCGTTAGCGGTGAAGGATTCACCAACACCGCCTAACCTCTTAAATGAGGGAGTCCTAACTTGAGGAACTGCATATAGTTAAATTGGTTATAACTTCGCATAATCGTCTCTTCCTCAATAAATGCACAATACCAAAGAAAAGGCCTGGTGCCCATATGATATTGGAGCATATAGAATTGAATTTTCTGTCCAAATTAAACTACTCTTCTTGTGACCCTACAATAATGAATGATAAAACCTTCCAAGCTAGCTGCTTTTAATTATTACTCTTAACTGTCATATTTAAATTACGTACGTTCTTTTTGTTTTTTTGTTTTTGTCAACAAATTACGTATGATCTTACCGTCTAATGAATCTCTTGCTCATTCATACTGATACTGGCTCGACATCAATTGGATAAAAAGTTTTCATAATTGTACACTCTCTTTGGAATAAATTCTTACTCATTATCTTTCACATTTTTTCACAAACAATAATATAATTAAAAAAATATGTATATATTTTGCATATTTATAACTTTCAACTAAACTTATTTACTAACATTTTGAATTGCGTGATTTTAGTAGTTGTTTCTTACCATTTTGACTTTATTTATAAGACACTTTCAGAATGTTTTTTTTATATATACCAATGTAAATCTTAAAATGAGTTAACTCTATTAAAATATAACAACTTTTAATTTTATTTATATTTAATATATATACTTTTTTTAAAAATAATTATTTACAGTATAATAAATAAAGAATAAAATAATATATTCATGTTAAAAATTTAATAAAATGACTTGTAATTATGACCCAGACAAATCTTCTCTATCTATCTTATAAATAAGACGGAAAGAATATAATAAAGGACAACACAAGTAAAAAGAAGCAACAACCCCATTAAATGAACAAGTGATTGAGCTTATTAAGCTGAATTCCAAAATGAAGAAAACTTGTACTTATTTACCCCGAACTAATTCTTGTTAATAATATTTTGAGTTTGTTTAAATTTTAAAATTCTACTTGTACCAGCTTGATTGGAAATTAATATATGATGTATCTGATCACCGTTCAATATTCACTTGTATATAAAGCCCAAATATTAGGGAGAATGGCGGAGTCAAATGGGAAGAAAGTGATTTAATTAGAACAAGGTATGAAGAAATCTTGAATTAATGCTAGTAATTAAAGTCCTACATGCCATTTAGTAATTTCGTTAAAAAGAAATGATTTTGACAGGATAGATAATAAATTTGCCTTGGAATTTTGCCTTATTGGTGTCATTAACTTTTAATTAGTGCAATGTTTTCCTAAAATTTTTACAAATAGTGACATCACCCTAGAATAAAGCATAACGAAATTGACCATTGCTGGGAAAAAAACTTAATACATTAACCATCACTCGAAGGTTAAAAGTTGATTTTGCCTTGTAAATTTGTTTGAAGGAGTGATTGAGCTTAGCCTGAAAAGCCTATTTATGCAAAAAAGACTCTCTTGGGAAAAGTTCGACTCTTGACCATATGAACTCAAGTCAAGATTAGTCTTACTGGTCTTCTCTTAAATAACTTGTAAATTTTTTAAATAAAAAAATTTTAAATTCAAATCCTTAATATAGATTATCAAATCATAGGTTATATAAGCATAAAAATATTCTATTATCTCTCACCAAAAATAAATATAATTTACAAATATTAACACATATAACATAAATGAAATTGTTGTTTAAAGTTTAAATTAGCCCTTTTTTTTTAAGTTCAAACGAATAAATCATTATCCAAAACCAAACAAATTAAATTATTTGATAAAATTTGATTCTTAAAAATATAGCAAACAACTAAATATTTGCAGCATCATAAAAATTTAAAAATATTGATAATATTATTACTATGAATAATTTTCAAAAAAATAAATAAAAAGGCCCAACGAGGCTTGGCCTCAATCCTAAAGAGTTGAATCATTTAGACTGTTAACTAATAGGAATTGGGTTTAGCGAAAGGAATTAGTCCCTCACAACATGACGAACTAATAGTCGAATTCTTGTTAGAAGAAGTGTCCAAATTTAATGCTTGGTCCAAACTAGCTAAACGAGAGAGGTATGAAAGCAATCAAAATATTTGAGGTTGTGCAAGAGAGATTTACAGCCCATGGTAGAGAATTAATTTCTAGCAGACACCATAAAATTATGAAATCTCACAACATTTTTTTAAAAAAGTATCTCTATTTTTTTTAAAAAAATTCTTGTAAATAGTTAAATTTGAATTATTTATAAGGAAATTCACAACTCTTAGATGTAAATGAACAATTCAAATTCAATTATTTAAACCCAAATTTGACAATTTGCATGGATCATAAGGAAATTCACAAATATTGCAAATTCAAGTGTTTAGATGTAAATGGAAGACTCTAATTTGACGATTTACAACTCATTCAACAATTTATATCTCTAATTTTATTATTTACAAGTAATATAAGAGAATCCATAATTTAAAATACAAGTGTTTAAGTGTGAATTAATAACTTAAATATGGCGATTTATAATCCAAATTCAGTTTATGACCAAATTTGTCGATTTACAAGAAATATAAAATAATTCACAACTTTCAAATGCAAATGTTTAGGTGTGAATGATAACTCAAATTCAATAATTTACAATCCAAATTTTACGATTTACAAAAAACATAAGGTAATTCACACCACTATAAATGCAATGCAAGATTTTTTTGTCTTTTTACTCATAAAATTTAATTTGATTTTGATCCAAGGGTGTAGTGAAATTTCATAATTTTGTGGGGTTGTTGTAAATTAGTTCTGTAGTGGGGGTAACTGAAATTGTCCCCTATTTATATCTTTACCATTTTTTGGTTGTTGTAATAATGTTTAGGTGGCACTAGGACCGGGACACATCTGCAGGTTCACGAGTTCTTACAGATGTATTTATATCCTTACTTAAGACATGAGTATATGACAATCATGCTTCGGGTAAATTACTCCATTTAATTAAATACTTAGTTAGTAGTGGTATTATCTGGCCAGGAAACAAGGCAGTGGGATTAAAATAAAATAAAAAACGTGGAAGCATAGTAGAGAAACGAGGAGGACACGGCTTGGCGTGAGGTTAAAAGGATAAATATTGGGTTAACATCTGAGAAATGTCAACAAAACCCGTATCATTCCCCCCCTAATTGAAAACCAGGCCATGTTTTACTTTTATTAAAAACTGTAATGAGTGGTTTTTGATGTAACCCTCTTCCAAGGGTTGACTAACCTGTCATTTCTAGACGAATTACATGCTCAGCTCAGGAAATGCTTTTTAAATTGTTGAAAAAAAAAAGAGAGAGAATAAATTACAGCAATTATAAGTCCACCAACAGAATTATATTAATTTCTTCTCCCATGTCACTCTCATTCATTGTTCTCACTTCTCAATTAAAAATAAATAAATGCAATTAAGCATTTAAGCTGGCTCAAAAATAAAAAGAAAGTAAAAGGAAAAAGAAAGCCATTGAAGTATAGATGCTTACAGCAGCAATTAATGGCCAACTTTATAATATAACAAAAATATAAGATTAAAGCCAAGATTCGCTTCCCCATTTCTCTCCTTTAATTGGAGTATTTAAAAAAGGGATCAAAACGTGGCATAACCTGTACTTGATTTGATTCAATTTGAAGTTTTGAACTTAAAGCAAACACCTTTGGAGGCAAAAGAGCTTAAAACCCATAAACACACTACAAATCGCACTTTGTAAAGAGATACGACACTTAAAACCAATTATCTCAAATAGTTCTGCTTTTTCCCCTGGCGTCCAAAAACAAAAAGTCCACTGAGATAAAAGAAAACGCAATATTTATATTAACAAACAGTAGTATACACTTAGCAATTTGCAATAGTGACAATGATGGAAATATAATAAAAGCAAACTCTTCCGAACCTGGAGTGTAATATTAGTCTGATTAATTGAGATTTATTGTGAAAATCCAAATCTCAGCGTTTAAGGCTTGTGCGGGGTTTGCTCAGGCGGACAGAAAACAGCTTTTACAAGCCAACTGATTATTTGACTTTAGCCATGACAGCCATGAGGAGGCTCCTGTGGGTCCCACTCAGCATCGACAAGGAAGCATCAATTTTAATTTAATGTGTGGGTAAACATGAAGATGGAATTTAATAACATTAAATGTCATCGCAATTTGATTTTTTGTGAGAGTCAAATTGTCCTTTCCTCCTGTTTGTTAAAGGTTGGTTTTTGAGTGGAAGAAGATTGTGGAGGCAGCATTTTGGGTGGCTTTGGGGTCAAACAAACAGAGGAAGCAGGGTTTATTCTCGCATCCTTTTCTTTTCCTTTTCCTTTTCTCACTATTTTTTCCCCTCTCGAGCTTATAAGAAGAAATCGTACAGTGAAGAAATCAAAACCGGTATGTTTTGGACTTACCGCTCTCGTAGTGAAAAAAGAGCATTTGATGTGAAGTGCTTTGTTTTAATTATGCTGCGGTGAAGAGGGACCATAAAGACAGAGAGAAGGAAGATGATGGGTCTCTGAGCCTTTTCAGGTGTTTCGTTGAGTTCGTCCTTGCTTCCAGTATTGAAGTTAATGGGTTGTTTTCAGTGTCGTTTAATTCTAGGTGAAGCTCATTTCTTCTGAGTTTCATGGAGCTGTGAGCTGTTTTGCAAATTTTGGGGATCTGGTTTGGGTTCTAGGGTTTGACTTTCCCTCTCTTTCTTGGTTTTCCTCCCATATCTCTGTCTTTTCCTGGGCATTGAAATCTTATCTGGGTTCTGTATTTTATTTTCTTGGCTTTCGCCTAAATCGCTGAGTCAGGTTCGTTCCTTGTGAGAGTTTTCCCATGAAAAAAATTGTCTGATTTTGTGAATTGGATACCTGGTGAGTGACCCACTTCGTTTTTTACGATCGGCTTGCATATTTCTCTCCTTCTATTTCGGGGCTTTAAGGCGTGATGCTGAATTTGTTACAGATGGGCTAAACCTTCCTGCTTCTCGTTTCAACAGTCTAGTCTACGTTCCGATTCTAATCTCTTGTTGCTTGTTGAAGGAGGCTATCATGCATCTTTCACTATGGAAGCCCATTTCTCATTGCGCTTCTCTGTTCATGGACAAGAAGAACAGACGGAAAGATGATTCTGCCGTCGAGACGAGGAGAAGCCAGTCGGTGCTCCGGAAATTGCAGGAAAACAAGCTTAGGGAAGCACTTGAAGAAGCTTCTGAAGATGGGAAACTCGCCATATCTCAGGGCATGGAAGCTTTTTCGCCTGAAAACAATGACGAAAGCCTCGGAAGATCTCGGTCGCTTGCCAGGCTTCACGCTCAGCGTGAATTTCTCCAAGCCACCGCACTCGCCGCGGAGCGCATATTTGAGTCTGAGGAAGAAATTCCTACTCTTCAGGAAGCCTTCAACAAATTCCTCACAATGTACCCTAAATACCAGTCGTCTGAGAAGATCGATCAGTTGAGGTCGGACGAGTATTCGAACTTGTCCCCAAAGGTATGCCTTGATTACTGTGGATTTGGATTGTTCTCTTTCGTTCAGACCATTCATTACTGGGAGTCCTCTACGTTTAGCTTGTCTGAGATAACTGCGAATTTGAGTAACCATGCCCTTTATGGTGGTGCTGAAAAGGGAACCGTGGAACATGATATAAAGACTAGAATCATGGATTACTTGAACATACCTGAGAATGAATATGGCCTTGTGTTTACTGTAAGCAGAGGATCGGCTTTCAAATTGCTGGCTGAATCATACCCTTTCCAAACAAACAAAAAACTGCTGACCATGTTCGACCATGAGAGCCAGTCTGTCGCTTGGATGGCTCAGTGTGCCCGGCAGAAGGGTGCCAAGGTGTACAGTGCATGGTTTAGATGGCCAACGCTCAAGCCCTGTTCCACTGATTTGAGAAAACAGATTTTGAGCAAGAAGAGGAGGAAGAAGGATTCTGCAACTGGTCTTTTTGTGTTCCCTGTTCAGTCTAGAGTGACTGGGGCTAAGTATTCTTACCAGTGGATGGCTCTAGCGCAGCAGAACAATTGGCACGTCTTGCTTGATGCAGGATCATTGGGTCCCAAGGACATGGATTCACTTGGCTTGTCTCTATTCCGGCCTGATTTTATAATCACATCTTTTTACAGGGTGTTCGGGTATGATCCCACAGGATTTGGATGTCTTCTGATCAAGAAATCAGTCATGGCAAGCCTTCAAAATCAGTCAGGGAGCACTGGGTCTGGAATGGTGAAGATCACTCCTGAATTTCCTTTGTATTTGGGTGACTCTGTTGATGGTTTGGACAAATTGACCGGGATTGAAGATGATGAAGAAGTCACCGAGACTGGTGATAAAACTGCTGAAACTCGTCAGGGATCACAGTTGGCTGCATTTTCTGGAGCATATACGTCTTCTCAGGTCCGAGAAGTATTTGAGACTGAAATGGATCAGGATAGTTCTGAAAGAGATGGCACTAGCACTATATTTGAAGAAACTGAGAGTATTTCTGTTGGGGAGCTGATGAAGAGCCCTGTCTTCAGTGAAGATGAGTCTTCAGACAACTCTTTTTGGATTGATTTGGGGCATAGTCCATTGGGATCTGACCACACAGGTCAATTGAATAAGCAAAAGATAGCTTCTCCTCTTCCACCCTTTTGGTTCAATGGAAGGAAGAATCAAAAGCATCATTCTCCTAAGCCAACTTCCAAGATATATGGCAGTCCCATGTATGATGACAAAGTTGTGAATCATGATCCTCATGATGATCGCCATGTGCTTTCATTTGATGCAGCTGTGCTATCAGTGTCCCAAGAACTAGACCGGGTAAAAGAGGTCCCCGAAGAGGAACATGTTGCTGAAATGAATGATTTTTCAAGAAATGGTAGTGGTTCTGATCATTTGTATGCTAATGAGATTGAGGAAGAACCTGGAAGTAGCGAACCTGTTCATCTTGGATCTGGAGAAAATGGTCCTTTAAAAGGATCAGGACTTAATAATCCATATTCTGTTGCTCAGCATCACCGCTTTGAAAATGGCTGTACCTCTGAAATATCCCGTGAGCTTAAAGAGAGTGCCATAAGAAGGGAAACTGAAGGTGAATTTAGATTACTTGATAGAAGGGAAGGAAATCGATATGCTGGGGGTAGATTTTTTGGTTTGGATGAGAATGAATCTTATAACAAGGGAAGAAGGGTGTCGTTTAGCATGGAAGATAACCGTAAAGAGTATCATAGCCATACATTGGAGACAGGGGACATATGTGCAATTAGTTTGGAGGATGATGAAGAGTACACAAGTGATGGAGAAGATGGTGATGAACAGGATTGGGGCAGGAGGGAACCAAATATAATATGCCGGCATTTGGATCATGTGAATATGCTTGGTCTCAATAAAACCACTCTTAGACTTCGGGTTTTGATAAATTGGCTTGTCACCTCTTTGTTGCAACTGAAGTTGCCAGGTATTGACAGGGAAGATAAAGCAAATCTTGTCCACATCTATGGACCAAAAATTAAATATGAAAGAGGTGCAGCTGTGGCTTTTAATATCAGGGACGGAAAGAGGGGACTAATTAATCCCGAGGTTGTTCAAAAGCTGGCTGAAAAAGAAGGAATCTCAGTTGGCATTGGTTTCCTCAGTCACATACGGATTCTTGATAATTCAAGAAATCATCAGGGGCCTTTGGATCTTGAAGAGACATCTCTTTGCAGGCCAATGGAGAATGGGCGTCAGGATGGAAAAGGCAGAAAAGGTGGCTTTGTACGGGTTGAAGTTGTTACGGCGTCACTTAGTTTTCTGACTAATTTTGAGGATGTGTATAAATTGTGGGCTTTTGTTGCCAAGTTTCTTAACCCATCATTTATTCATGAAGGCGGTCTTTCCACTGTTGAAGAAGGTTCTGAGACGTAAGATCATCAACGAAGTAGCTGCTGGTATTCTATTCAAATATTGGAAGCTGGACATGAAAGAGACTATTTGTGAAATGTTTTCCAACAAGGAAGCTGGTGAATCTGCTTGAAGAATGACTTGGTGATCATGTGCGTGCTGCCAGATAGAAGAATTCTTGCCTCCGATTCAAAGCTGCACAAGGCCAGCGGGTGAATTTGTTAATTCATGTTTCTTGTTGCTTACATTTTTTTTTCCTTTTATTTTCTTCTTCGAACTTGTTGTAGAGTTTTTCTTTTCATCTTTTTTCTGGCCAACAACTTGTAGAGTTGGCTTTAGAGATTTTTCACAGTATTGGGAAGTCAGGGTGTACATGTAGCGAAATGTGTGGGGTAGAACCTCTATCAGTATTCATTTTGCTTATGTTGCATACAAAAGGATTTGCAACTTTTGTACAAAGTTAATGTTCATCTTATGCTGTTCTGTATGAGACGATCCAAATCCAAATATCCAATAGCTTTGTTGACTTAGATTTGACTTCTGCTAATAGTGACAACTAGATTTTTTCAGATTGTATGTTGGGAACATTATCAGTAAATTCTCTTCTCTTTCATTCAAAAGGATTTGCAGCTTCTGTATAAAGTTAGAGCTAATCTGTACAAAAAGTCCCTGAGGCCATTCAGATCCAATAATTTTTGTTGACCCTTATTATGTCCTTGCATGTTATGATTGAAAGCTAAATTGGACTGAAGTGAGAACTGAACACAGAAATATGCATTTCTTACTCCCTTTGAAATTGTATCAGCTCCTAAAATATGAGTTAGTTTACTAATAAATTTTCAGTTTACCTTTTCTGTTTAGGTTTTGTCATTTGAAGTTGAAGGATATTAGAAAGTGTGAATCAAATTTAAAAATCCTCTGCATTGTGTAACTCATCCCCCCCCCCCCGGCGGGGCCCGGGGGGGTTACTTAGGGCTCTGTCCTCCATTTGGTAACCATAATGGATGTACATTTTGGACCTTTTCTTCTCTTATGTAAGGCGCCTATCATTGTCTTGAAAAAGGCTGTTTATTAACGCTTGAAATTTTATGGGAAATTATAAACCAATTATATACTAGATTTAGAGGCAACATTTATTTTTATATTTTCTTGTGCTGTTATCTTTGTTTGAAACTTGATGCGCAAGAATGTTCCTCAGAAAGCTTAGCTATTTCATGCCAAGTTAATGAGTTAGCTTCTTCAGGCATATCGTTGGTGCTTGGATCATGGTAGGTAGGGATACTAGTGTAGGAAGATTGAATTTAACAGATCAAATGCCGTTGGGGGAAAAAGAAAAAGAAAAGACCATAAAAGAGAGGGTAGAGTAATTTTTAAAACAGGCTCCTGAAGTTTAGATTTGCATAAGCAAATGAAAAGGACTCAATTGATCTTAACTGACAAGGAGATTTTGATGACAATAGTGTATCACAGTTATAAAAAAGTGCTGTCAATGACCAAGTGTTGCTATTTCTCCTTAGTTACTTTATTTATTACTTCTCTGCACCTATGCCCAACAATTTACTTTTTATCTGAAGTTTAGACCTATTTATGTCTGTGCATAGATATCCCCCTTCACTTTTGGAGAAGTGACTGCAAAAAGTCCTCGAAAATTAAATTTTAAAGGATTATCTTTTGCTTACACTGTGCTCAAGCAAATTGATGACTTGCTGAGGCCAAAATATTAGAAGCTAGATATATCATGCAATTAGGGGGCATCATTATATCCACGAAGTTCAATGATTAGTCAGTCAATATGCTTATATTAATTAATTTGCAGCTTAAGCTCACATCATGGTTTGAGCACACGTGATGAGAGTTTTCTGTGATATTGAGAACACTGTGATGGAACGGAGAAACTGGGTAATTATAAGCTGCCCTTCATGCTTATTTGTTTCCCTGCGCTTACGTTACTTTGGAACCTGCTTCTGATTTATTGTAAGCTGAGGTAACAGAATCAACATGAGGACCTCAATCTTTTTCCCCTCCTTTTTTTGGGTTTTGGGTGAAAATATTGGATTTAAAATTCAATTTTTTTCGCTTAACTGGTTTAGGGGGTGTTTGAATAGAAACCAAATCATAGTTTCAAAAATGTTTTTACGGTTTACGAAGTAAATATGTAGAGGAATTTGTCTTGTTTTGCAGAAAAGTGTTTCTGAAACTATGGTTTAGAGATTTCCAAACACCATCTAAATCATTCTTGAAATTGGGCATCAGCAAACAATTAAATGGATTTTCATTCGTATAAATTTTTTTTCCTCCATCTTTTATGGGCAACTGGACAGAGCAATAAATCTTCATTTCTGCAAGTTTGTACTACTGACAATATATATCCTTGAAATCTGAGAAGCAATTTCTCCCTTTATTTTATTTAGTAATCTTCAATTTTATTAGCTGTTCCTGGCGTATCATCGTCTTCTGCTTTTCGTTTCTCTCTGGACTCGGGTGCTTCCAGATTGCAGAATGTGACATCAGCTTGTTGCTTATTGTGAACTATTAAGTGCACTCTAAAGAAACACGAAACCTCTGGAAAATGAAAAAGTTTGAGGGAAGTAGGTTCGAGACAGAGATTACACAGAAGAACAAGGGCAGGCCTCCCTTTTTTACTGGCTTATTCGAGCCGCTACTAAGTTTTTTTTCTTCTTTTTTCTTTTTATTTAAAGGTACGAAAACTAATGAGCTTAGATTATGAGCTAGATCAAATCCACGACTGAGAAGCCTGAATCACTTAATTTTGTAAGCATGCATCTAAAATTTATCATATTTATCTGAGTCGGCCAAATAGGTCTGACTCTATCATGAACATGTAATGTAAGGACGTTTGTTCTTGTGTTAGAGCACCATGGAATCTGAAAAATCATGCCAGACTGACTGGTTCAACCAAACTGAGGATCCCATTACACCCATTTTCAGATGAGGAGAACGAGAATTGAAGGAAGTACATTTTAGATAGAACCTGTTCTGTCTTGATTTGATGGGATGACTTATTGAACCTATCTATTTATTAGTTATAAGGTTACTCATTGAGGCTTTAATATGTAACTAGACATTCATTAAATACATTTGTGGATTAGAATTTGCCTCCTCCTCCTCATCATCATGATCATCTTCATCTTCCTATCACCTTTCATTCTTGAAGAGGGGTTTGTCTTCCGTACAACAACTAGCCAGATCTAACCGTGCAGCCTATCAGCATATCAAAGCTTATGGAGTATCTACATCCCAAAATAAATGCACACACACACACACACACACACACAAACTCTCGTAATTACTCAAAAAAAAAAAAAAACTACTACACCTTATGAAACAAAATTCTTTCTATATATTTACTTTATACAATGCAAAATCATTTAAAATAAGCTAATTTTGCATCACTATTGCTCTATTAACCACCAACTTAGTGTTATCTACATCAATTTTATATCACTATTGTTCCATTAATCCCCAGCTACTTAAATATACTTTTCATTTAAAAAAGTCTCGTTGGATGATTTTTTGAGAGTTTCTTATTAGTCTTGCTTTATCTTTCTTCTCATGTCCATGGAGAACGGAGGAGCCTAAATCCATAGTAAAAACTGTTTCAAATTTGTCTTCAGTCAATAGTGACAAACCATGGTGTTTTCACTTGGCAACGATTTTGGTGCTTGAGATTTTAGACTCCTCTTATACTTATTATAGAGCATAATTGTTGTGTTGATATTACTCCTAAATATAACACCTATTTTTTATATTTATCTATTTTTTTTAAATTACTCTTATTGACACTCTCACCATTATAATTAAGTAAGAGAGGAATAAAGGATATTAAGGAAGATGATTATGGTGTTTTAGAAAAAAATATGTTATATTTCTTATAATTAGATAACTTATTTAATTTTTTTAATCTAATCAAAATAGTTAAATAGTTCTTACATCAATGATTAGATGAGTATTAGAATAACTTTGTTTTAAAAGTTGTAAAAGACCCTCCCAACTAACCATAAATTAAACAAACGCTGAAAAGCATTTGAAGGCCAATAATTCAGTGTAAACACTTTAGAATTGAAGTCTTACATTGAAGCTCTTGAAATATACTTAATATGGTCATTTTTATACTCTCTTTTCTCTTATTTTGATTTTAATTAGAGGGTGGTTGAAAAGAAAATGAAAAGCTGTATTCTTTGTCCCCACCTCAACTGGTTCCATGAAGTTTGTGGTTAATTAGTCTTGCTATTTATCCCTTGTTACATATTTTACATTAATGTATATTAATTGATCAATTACACATGGTGCCAAAATTAAAAAAATTAATATTTTGCACTCAAGTCTCAAGATATGAGGTATGCCCATATAACTTGTAAACTAAAAGTAAATTTACAAAGGTGATAAACTTTCTTTATTATTAATATATTAATATGATTTAAAATTCAAATTTTTTAACATAAATGTTTATAATTTAAATTTACAACCCCAAGATACATGGCACTTCATTTTTAAATTTGGGTGAAAACCCATGTGCCATTATTTTGTCTGCTGTTGAGAAAGAAAAAGATGGCAGCAACTAGCATGGCAATTACCAAGCTGGGTAGCTAGCCGGTAAGAATTTCAGACTCTATAAAATTCATAGAAACTCTCAAATTCAACCGCTTTTACCCTCCACTCCCACGGCCTTATTCTTTGGTTCCAAACACAGCTTAGAGAGAGAAACTATAGAGAACCTGTTTTTGTTCCAAAGAGCTCTGAAGAAATGACTAAAGACGACGACTTTAAGCTCCTAAAAATCCAGGTACTTCCTTTTCTTCGCCTTTTTCAACTTGGGTTTTCCTCTTTTCCTTAAGAATCTTTCTGTTTTATTTTCTGAGTTTCTGGTTTTGCTTTGTTTTCTTTCTTCCTCTGCAGACATGTGTTCTCAAAGTGAACATTCACTGTGATGGATGTAAGCAGAAAGTGAAGAAACTACTTCAGAAAATTGAAGGTCCTCATTTTCTTCTCTTCCTTTCCTGTTTTTCCATTTTAAGGCTTGTCCTTACTATTTAATATCTACTCACCTCGCCGTCACTGTTCTTTTTCTTGTCTGCAACATTTTTCCTTCAATGTTTGCTTGAGAAGAATTTGTACGGAAAGGGTAAGGAAAATAGGTAGCTCTGTTTGATGAAAGCCATGGTATGTCACATTTTTGTAAGATGTAACAAACATGCCACAATTTAGTGAAGCTAGCTGCATTAGTCCCGGAAGAGAATATTCTGCACAATTTATACCCATTTTGACTTCCTTCAGACGTGGAAATGCCTTCATGAGAAGTAAAGTTTATTCTTATAGTTTGATCTTAAAAAAAAGATTATGAAATTACAAATATTATCAGGATGAAACATCGCTATAGAGTATGGTTCATGGTTTAAACTTCAGCCCTGGGTATGATTTTCTTTGTCACTTGACTTTTTGGGACATTGTCTTGGACTTGCAGGCGTTTATCAAGTTCAGTTAGATGCAGAACATCAGAAAGTGACAGTTTCAGGAAGTGTTGATTCTGCAACACTGATCAAGAAACTGATGAGAGCTGGTAAATATGCAGAACTTTGGTCACAGAAAACAAATCAGAACCAGAAGCAGAATAACAACAGTATGAAGAATGACAAGAACAAAAAGGGTCAAAAACAGCAAGGACAGGTCAACAACCAGCAGAAATTTAAATTCCCTGCTTTTAGTTCTGAAGAAGATGATGATATCTATGAAGACGAAGATGAAGAAGACTGTGAAGATGATGATGGGCTGAGGTTCATCAGTGAGAAGGCTAATCAACTGAATTTGATCAAGCAGCAGCAAGCAGCTAGTGCAGCAAAGAATGCAAAGAGAAATGGTGGAGCCATGAATCAAGCTGCTTCTTTCAACAATGGTGGCAAGGCAAACAATAATAATAATAATGCCAATGGTGGAAAGAAAGTAAGCTTTGATCCAAAAGCCATGGCTGCTCTAAAACTAAACAGTAATGCCAATCTAGGCGGTGAAAGTCTGAGTCTTGGAGAACCCAGGAGGGTCACAAATGACATAGGTTCTATGATGAGTCTTGCTGGTTTTAATGGAAATAACAATGCGAACAATTCTGGATTTGGAGGATTCCAAGTTCAGTCCAACCCTGGATTCCAAGGACCCTCTTCAGGAATCATCCCAAATGGTGGTCTTCTCACAAATCAACAGTATCCATCATCATCTTCATCTCCTCTTCTGATGAACGTGAATGGTTTTAGCAATAATCATCCATCTTCATTGATGATGAACATGAAGCAACAACCCCAGATGATGTATCAGAGGGCTCCGTCTGTTCCTCCAACCACTGGATATTACTGGAACAACTATAATGATTATAATTACAGTCCTGCCATTGCCAATTACTCTCATTTTGAGCTGCCTAATTACTCTGGGCAAGATCACTATGCAGCTGATATGTTCAGTGATGACAACACTAACAGTAGCTGCTCAGTTATGTGAATCATAGGTTGTGGAGCTAGAGTCTTGAAAAGAAGAAAAGAAGGCAAAAGGCAAATGAGATCATGGTGTTTGACCTGAAAAGTTCCCTCTTTTACCTTGCTTTACCCAGCTTGTGGCTTTTGACTGTAACTTTTAGAGGGGAAAGGGATTGTGTGTGAGAGGTGGATGTGTGTTTGTAGATGCGAATTTGGGATGATGTTGCCTTTATTTTCCCCTTTTCGAAAAAGAAGTCTACGTTGCTTGCTTCTCAAAACATGTCTTTTCAGTGTTGTGTTCTGATGCTTTGGATTTGTAAACTATGTAGTATGAAGTACGAGGAGAACTATATAACAAATGTGATTGAAGAGAGATGACTCTTTTTTCTTTTCTTTTTTTTTTTTGGTGCCAGAGAAGAGAGATGACTTCAATTCACATAGTATTTGTAACTTGAAAGGATAAATAGTTCTGATACTTGGTTTTATACTAAAAACTATTAAAATTCAGATTGAAAATCATTAAAATTATGGTTTTAATGAAAACAATGCGTCGAAACGTGCATCAAAATCATTTTTTTGAGTTTTGAAGAATTTAAATTAAGGGATAAGTTGGTTTATAATTGATGAATAGTGTTAGTTATTTATAAAAATTTTATTTTATACAAAGATATTCATATATGGGTAGATAGATGATGGTATGGTTTTTCTTTTTCTGGGAATTCACAAATACATTGCAGACAAAGGGACACAAGTTCACTGTTTTCTGTGAACAGGCTTTAGTTGGAACAGTTGAGTTGACAATGTGCATAGCTTTTGAATTTTTTGTATAGTGGCGCACGTTAAGTGGATAAGCACGCGCATGTCACGTGCTTAGTCCTGTTTCTGATTGGAATCCCTGCCTGCATTATTATTTTAAATACTTAGACTTAGATTAACAAGGTGATTGGATGGAACCAAACTATGGTTTTAAAAGTATTTTTACAGTATACGAAGTAAATTTTTCTTTTAAAAAACACTTTTCCATCGTACCAAACACCCCCTAAGTTTTATATAATAATTAAGTTGTCAAATCTATCATGTGTCCTAATGTGGGTTATCAAACAAAAAAAAAAACTTATCTAATCCTATTTATAAAGCATTTTCAATATATTTCACACAGACTAAAAAAAAATTTAAAATACATTAACTCTGTATTAAAATATAATAATTTTTTAACTTTACTTATATTTAATATATGCATCTTTCAAAAGAAATAACTATCTATATTATAATAAATAAAAAATAAAATAGTATATTCACGTGAAAAATTTAATAAAATAATTTATAAATAGAATAAAAAAAAAACTTTTCTCTCATATGAGTAGTTCAGTAGTATAAAGGCCCGCAAGATTTGTTTGAGCTAAGTTCCAGTCCCAAAAATAATTATTTTGTAGAAAAGAAAAGTCACAAATCCGAAATCGGGTTAGTTGATTGCTCGGATCCTGAAAAAGCATGCATATCGGATTACAATATAAAAAAATTTGTCCTAATGTGAGTTTGGAATTAAACAATGGTATATTGATATGAAAACAAAATAAGATACATAACAAACTGAGATTAGAGAATTTGGCATAATTAGTATAACAAATTTGATGTAAGTTTTGCCCTTATTTTAATTATTTTTTCTCATTTGTCCTCGTCTACTCATCTCTAAAAAAATGGGTAAACAATAAAAGGAGTAAAGGAGTGGGTTACAAGTAAGCCGCACATGACATTAGGGCATTCCAACTCATGATGGAGGGTTAATGTTTACATGTTTTCTAATTATGTACTCATGATGGTTAACTTGGCCATATGAATATTATATTTATCACACAATCAGAGCCGATAACATAGGTTCAACCCCTGCCAACTCGCTGAAAAGTAATAGGTTGGATTGATAAAAATTAGAATTGTTTTAAAATGGATCTTTTCAGCCCATAACTGCTAAGACCGAACCCGCGGTGAGCTAACTCGTTTTATCTTTTTTTTTTAATAAAAAAATTTCTTTTTAAAACCCTATCAATATTGAGTGATGGCTCATGATTGGACACTTGATAGTGATTTGTGTAGTGACACATTGTGTTTATGACTTTATGGTGTTGTTGATTTGGATTTATGTTTTAATTTGAGATGTTTGCTAAATCATTTAGGATGTATCATGTAATCATATGTTTAATATTTTGAGATATTTGAAAGTTGAAACTTTGGATTTCATGTTTTATTTATCATAATTTCTATTTGCATGTTTTAGTTTAAGTATTTACAAATTTGAGTAGATTTTATTAAAACAAAAAAAAGTAAAAAAAAATTATAAAAACTACCTCGCCAACCTTGGTGGGTTGGGTTGGAAAAATTCCAACCCGCTACCGGTGGGTCCTAAAAAGACCAACCCGCCTGGCTTCAGATCGGCCATGGGCCAGCCTATAACCGGCGGGTTGGCCCATAATACCAGCTCTACACACAAGCACCTAGCCTTATCCAGTGTACACTAATCTTTCAAATAAAAAGTGAATAAATTTGTTTTTCTCTTTGACACATTAGCAAATCTATAATTGTTTTTTAACTCATGTTTACAATCAAACAATAAAAAATAAATCTGTTTCAAATGACGTGATAATTTTTTATAAATTATATACTAATAAATAAAAAAAAGAGAATAAAAAGTATGACACATTTTTTTTTAACATAGTATGACACATTTAATTATTGATATGAGGGTCAATTTAAACGAATGGATTCTAAAATCAAATATGTCACATTTATTTTTTAATATAAGTAGTATGTGTGTGCTTGTGTTTTTTTTTCCCATTGGATAAACATGCGTGTTTTTATTTGTAATTTTTATGTCTTCTACCCTAGTAACCATATCTTATTGAAGGAAGAATTGCAGGACAATCCTATAAAAAAAATTAAAATTATTAAATTTTAAATAAGAAATTTTAACAAAAATATTTTATTATTTGTAAATAAGTATTGTAAAAGCTTATTAAAGTGTGAGAATCAAATCTGGTTTGGGACTTATTAATTTTAAACTTATTTTTGTTAGATTCTCCAAAGAATTATTATGAGATCTTAAGAAAGAGATAAATCACTTCATGCATTCAATATCCTAATTTTATTTGTGATATATTGAGCACTTACTGATCTTATTTTCTAGTTACATCCAACATTTTCATTTTATTTATAGTTTAGAGTGTTAGATACATTATAAGTAAGATTAGAGTGATGAAAATATCATAAAAATAATATCTGGATGCATTATAAATAATATAAAGAATATTGGTACGTGGGATGCAACTCCTGTTGCTGGATAATGACATCAAATTGTGCTGACTCATTGCTACTGTTAAAACGTTTAGATAGTTACGTTGTTTTCTTGAGAATTCAAAGCCTTTTTTTTCTTACGAAGAACTTGAAACAGACAAGGGAAAATTGGGGATAAATCCCCCTTTGGATATTTGTTTAAGAATTAGTCCCTAAAAAGTTACGAGAGGCTTTGGTCCATTAGTGTAAGTAAGTATGATAAGAAAAATAACCAAAATACTCTTAGACTCTAGTGGAAGATCATTTACATATACACTGAATCTAGTTACACATATGGAAGATATCTTGTTCGTTATAGAAGTTAAATTGCATACTCTATGTTTTGAACATAATATAAGATCATTTGCACATACACTAAATATAATTGCACACGAGGAGAATATCTCCCATATTATAGAAGTTAAATTGCACACTCCATGTTTCGAAAATAATACTCCTCCGGTCCTTAATATAGGACCCAATTATTGAGTTGGTTTTAGTCTTAAATATAAGACCCATTTATCATATTTATCAATTTTCTCTAAATTACCCTTATAAATATTTCCTCAACCATAATCAAGTAAAAGAGGGAGAGGGGGTATTAAGAAAAATGATTATGGTGTTTTAGAAAAAACATGTCACATTTTTTATAATTAACTAGCTTACCTAACTTCCTTAATATAATTAAATTAGTTAAATGGGTCTTATATTAAGGACCGGAGGAGTAGATCATTTGCACATACATTAACTATAGTTGCATATAAAGAAGATATCTTGTATGCTATGGAAGTTAAATTGCACATGTACATTCCATGTTTTGAATATAACAGAAGATCATTTGCACATACATTGAATTTAGTTGCACAAAAGAAAGATATCTTACACGTTATGAAAGTTCGGTTGTACCTAACGTAAGTTGCACATAGTGAAATATCAATTGCATCTATGGGAAGTTGACTTACACGTAAGGAAAATGCAGTTGCACCAAATATAAGGGCACATAATGGAAGATCGATTGTACCTACATTAAATTTAGTTGTACTTAAAGGATGATATATTGCACGTTATTGGAATTCAGTTGCACTTAACATAAGTACACTTAATGGAAGATCAAGTATACTCACACGAAATTTAGTTACACATAAAGATAATATATTGCACGATATTGGAGTTTAGCTATGGGGGTATGCAGTCTTCAAATTGCCTTGTTGATTCTCCTTGTTGACTTCTTTTCTTTTTTTTAAAAAAAGCTTTAATCAGCGCAATATAGTAATTTCATCTAGATTTTTTATTTATATTTAAGCACCTCAATCTCTGATGTTTTTTTAGGGACTTTTTCCCAAATAAATTTTCAAATGGGTATTTTTACCCAATCTTCTCAATAAACAACCGCAATAACGGTTGCTTTACATGCCTATCTAATCTTGGGTTGTTTTTATTGTGCGATGAACACGTATATTGACGGTGTAAGCAAAACACAAATACCAGAGAGGGGAGTTCCGAGAAATATAATAAATTGCCCAACTTGTGTGAGATGAGAATGTACTCGACCCAAGGCCACATGCAAGCATGACTTGCAGAATTGCACAGAACAAAGATTAAAAAATATAAAACAAAAATGAATACAATAATTAAAATAATTTAATTACGACTCAATTTAAAACTCCAGCACATTGCACTGTTTCCCTCTGTCCCAAGAGCAATAATGGCATCAAAAGAATAAATCTTTTCCTCTCCTGGTGGGACTGTTCATAATCATGAGCCCCTATGCCTTTTCCATTGATTTTTCAAACTTTTTCTTCTTGATGTGCATATGTTTTATGACATTTACTTGTGACAAAAAACAAAAACAAAAACAAAACAAAAAATTATTAAATCCTAAATCACATTAATAATAATATTTTATCTAATATTGGAAACACTGAATTTACAAATAACAATTAATTTTTATTGACATTTTTATTTAGTATTTAGTAATTTTTATTTTCGTTTTTTTATCATTTTTTCTTACTTATTTCATATTTATAGCGA